ACTACAAGACTGAAGAGGTACCAATAAAGTGAACAAATATATGTTTCTTGGATATTCTAGATGAAGAAAGGGCAAAGCCATAGAAAACCTATTTAATAAATAATATGTATAAATATTGCATATTTTGGGATAGATAGTGTTATTCAGGTCCAATAAGCCCAAATGAACTCAAATAAATACAACAGAAAAGAAAAGGTTCTCATTGATGCTTTTCCCTGTTAAATACAAAGGTGACAAAGTGTGTTACATACATATACATATATGTGTGTGAGTATATATATATATGTATATATAATGTATATATAAACCAGGATATACATATACCCTGTTGATGCATGTTCCTTCTACAGTAATTTTTGAGTTTTGTCATAAAGGAATTTTGAACTTCATCAAATATTGTTTTGAACCAATTGTAATGATCAAACGTATTATTTTGTCCTTCATTCTCTTTATGTGATATGTTACATTGGTTTTTTTCCAATATGCTGAACCATCCTTGCATAGTTTGAAAAATCCCACTGGCTCATGATATATAATAAGGACCAGGTGGCTTCACAGTCAAATATTACCAATATTCAGAAAGGAGCTGATAATAATTTTTCTCAATCTATATAAAAAAGTTAAAGTCAGGGTACACATCTAAGGTCATCTGTTGAGGACAATACGACCTTGATACCAAATTCAGACAATCATATAAGGAAATACTTACCATGGTGAACAAAGATGCAAAATTTCTCAATACAATTGTAGTACACTGAATCAAATATCATACAAAAAATCCCAGTGATAGTTATTTAATAAATCCCAGAAGGATTTATTCAAACTATGCAGGGATGGTTCATCATATATAAAAACTAAATGTAGTATATCATATAAGGTGAAGAAAAGTCAGAAACCATATATATGATCATTACAATTGATGCAAAATAGTATTAATATTTAATGAAGTTCAAAATACTTTATGACATAAACCTTCAAAATTTAGTATAGAAGGAACATGTTTCTACACAATTAAGAATATATACAAAAACACATACTCATCTCCATGCTTAATGGGGAAAAGCTGAAAATATTTACTTTTAAAAAGTATATCCATTTCCACCAGTGTTATCAATATAATACTAGATGTTTTACTCAGGGTGATTATACAAGAGTAGGAAATAAAGTTCATGGAAAGAAGAAAAGAAGAAATCAAATTATCCTAATTTATAGTTGACATGATTTTCTATGTATAGAAGCCTAATGACACTACCATAGATCTATTCAAATTTGTTAATGAATTTGGTAATACTAAATGGTACCAATTCACCATGTAAATAAAGGTAGTATTTTTATACACCAATCAAACATTATGAGAATCATATCAAGAAAATACTTCCATTAATAGCTACCAAAAATTGAACATTTAGGATTAAATTTAACCAAGGAAATGAAACATCTCCATAATTAAAATTATAAAATACTGATGAAGGAAATTGAAGGGGACAGAAAATAGAAAGTTCAAGTTCATGGTTTAGAAAATCCAATAATGTTCAAGTATGCATATACTCAATGTAATCCTCAGGTCTAGATTATCCCCATCAAAATTCCTATGGCATTCTCAGAGAAATAAAAAGTATCTAAAATTTATATAAGACCCCAAAAAGTCAAAACAATTCTTAACAAAACTATCAAGGCTAGAGGTATCACAATACCTGAAATGAAAACATACTCTAGTAACATGATACTAGAATAAACAGACATAAATACCAGAAGAACAGCTTGAGAACCTAAACATTTGCCCACAAAAGTACGTCCACCTCTTCTGGTGAAAATGGCACTAGAACCGGAGAAAGAATTGTCTCATCAATGAATGGTGCTGGGGACTTGAATATTTATCTGCAGAATAAACTATCTTTTCTCATTATATACTAGAATCAATTCAAAATGTATCAACAATCAAAATTTATAATCTGAAATATTTTTATAATAATATATTAATTGTACAAAATGAAGGATTTCATTATGACATTTTCTTACATGAACATAATGTACTTTAATCATATTTGCTTCATTTTTCCCTTTTTAGTACATATTAATTACACAAAGTAAATATTTTATTGTGATATTTCCATACATCCATCTACAGTGCATTGATTATATTCACACAACCTGTTGCTCTTTCTTTTCCCCAACTGACCCAGGCCCTTTTCTTTTTTTATACTATTTTAATAGGTTCTCTATTATATGTGCTTATTTCCCAACCCTTCTCCCTCTTTCCTTTTCCTTTTCTAGGTTCCTAATAGTTCACATTTTACTTAGATGTCCTTTTTTCCTTTCTAAATAATATGAGTGAACATGAGAGACTGACTTATTTCACTTTACATGATGATATTCCGTTCCACTATTTTCCCACAAATTATGTATTATACTTTTTTTTAATAAGACCTGAAGCTGAAACTACTAAAAAGAAAAATCAGGGGAAACACCTTAAGACATTAATACAAGCAATATTTTTGGTTGTTGTTAAGACATGAAAAGAACAACAAACAGCAAAAATTTATAATCTAGATAACACTAAACTAAGAAGCATCCTGGTTCAGTAGAAAATATGTTAAAGCAGATAGGTACTCTTTAGATAACAGAAAAATCAATTCAGTTGCAAACACCTGGAAACTTCTCATGGCTGAGTTCAATTTTGAGATCGAGGAAGGGCAGATTAAAAGAGAGGAAGAAGTTACATTAGATGAGGGAATCTTTGCTGCAAAATTAATTGAACCAACTGATGAAGAACATTGAATTTAGGTACATTGCCAAGTTCTATGAGGGACACAGGATAAAGAAAGGTGACAAGATGTAAACTGTATCATGCATGGAATTCAATGGATCTGGTTTGAAAGTAATGAGGTAATGTTATGAATTCTTGTTCAGGGAAGAATTGTTAAAAATGAAAGAGGCATGGAAGAGGGAGAGAACAGCTCAAACACCAACACAGGATTTATTGTTCAGGCAGGAGCCCTGTGAAAGGGGATCCCAGCAAGAGAGCTAAATCCCATTGCCACACACAGGCTTGGGCTAGATATAGGGTACTAGTACTAACATACCAGGAAGGTCACTATGGGATACCATTGCTAGGCAACCAAGAAAGATAAATTGTGGTTAGGTCACTGTCTGCTCAACTGTCCTTTGCACCCATTCAGAAATAAATGTTAACAACTGTCCCTTTGTCAGTGGTAGAGGTTGGGTGGGGAGTTTCTAGTAAGCAAGGTTGTAGGAGGTCTTGTCTTAACATGGCTGTCCTCACTGTGAATCCCAACAAGCACCATGCGTTTTTCATTCATTCCATGAATATTGAGTACTGCATGCTTCCGGACATGTTTAAGAGAGTTAAAAAGACAGAAACGGACATATTAAGGAGATTCCATCTCTAAGCCAATGTGCGGATAGTGGGAATGGGGAAGGAGGGCCAATTATACACATATTAAAACATACTTTTCCTACTGTAGTGTGATTAGTACTATGATAAGAAAAAAATAGGTAAGAAGGTAAAGGGCAGGTAGTATGATAAAAATAAAGGCAGGAGAATAGTCCCAGTTATTATCATAGTATATTATAGCATAGTATAATGTAGTATAGAACATATAACATCAAATTTCCACAGTGTGTTGTATAGAACAGAGAGCAAGTCTGTGGCTGAACCTAGTTCAGACAAGAACCATACTTCTAGTTTCCTCCCCAAATATTATTTTTCATTACATTAATTATACTTCCCTCATCAAAGGGTCAAACCAGCCAGAGATTGTTTTCTGCCTGTTTTATATTTTAAGCAGAAAACAGGAAGAGAGCTCTAACGTTTAAGTATCAAAGTACAGGCCATTAAAATGATCTTCAAACAGACTTTAGTGAAGGTCATTCACTTAAACGTCATTGGCTCACAAGACACCTTTAATTCACATCAAGTATTTTGTTATTTTTTAGGAATTAATGTTTCCACAGGAATACATTGATGTCAGCGCAGAAAATTCCTACAGGATTTGATGGAACACTTTAACTCGACATTTTAATGGGCATAATTACTAACACTGAGCTGTAGGTAGTATGAGATTTTCACTTGTTTATTCCCAAATGCTTTAGAGAACAAGATTCATAAATATTTTTAAATCCTAAGAACTCTACTATAAAACAAGCAGTGTACTTTCAAAAAACTGTTATCTGTGAAATCCAGGTAAGAGAACTATTCTTATTTTTACTTTTAATTTTACAACTATAAATATTTACTTCCCTGAATTATTTGCCATTTTTGTTGGTTCTAAATTTTAACTTTTTAAAAATATTTGTAGCTGTTGTGAGTGGTGTGAGTAAGTAGGATGAGGTACAACACTGTAATTCTTACTTTCTGATTAGAAGTTAAAATTTCAAAATATATAAGTAAAATCACACAAAAATGTCCACTTAATAACAGATCAATTTAAAAAAAATTACACAAAATATTGCAATGAAAACAATTTCTAATTTAACTGAAAAATTTCATGGCTTATATATTCCCATGTCTAATTTATATCTAAGATATAAATTTATATATTACTTAGAAATTTCTCAAAAAGTCCAGAAAAAGACACATTTTAGGAAAATTGTTTTAGATTTGTTTTAGAAGTCTTAAAAAACTGGCACAGAAATTATTTGGAAAGAATCAGCCGAAAAGTAGTGTCCTAAATATTTATAGCTCTCAAGTACAAATACATAAAATTATGCTTCTCTCACTTTAAGCGTCCTCCCAGAATTATCTATACAAAAATACATTGTTATGCATATTGGGAGACATAGCAGGAGGGCATAGGTGTTGAAACTTTAAGAGAACAAATGTGTGCAGAAAGTATAAGGAGCTTCATTACACAGAGAGCAGGAAATTCTTAAAGGAGACGCTCCTCTATCTGTTATGAAAGAAAAAAATAATAGAAAAATATATGCACTCAATTACATCTTATATCTAACTAACTCTTGTCTCCATAGAAAAGAGAAGGATGACAGAGGACAACAACTCCTTGACCACTGAGTTCATCCTCACAGGACTTACAGATCATCCAGACCTGAAGACCCTGATGTTTGTGGTCTTCTCTGCTATCTATCTGATCACCATGGTGGGGAATCTTGGTTTGGTAGCTTTGATTTACATGGAACATCGTCTTCACACACCAATGTACATCTTTCTGGGAAATCTAGCTCTCATGGATGCCTTCTGTTCCTGTTCTGTTACTCCCAAGATGTTAGAGAACTTCTTTTCTGAGGACAGGAGGATTTCCCTCTCTGAATGTATGGCACAATTTTATTTTCTCTGTCTTGCTGAAACTACAGACACTTTTCTTCTGGCAGCAATGGCCTATGACCGCTATGTGGCCATATGCAGCCCATTGCAGTACCACACCAGGATGTCCAAGAAACTCTGCATTCAGATGATCACAGGTGCCCACTTAGCTGGAAACCTGCATCCCATGATTGAGGTTGGGTTATTGTTTAGGTTAACTTTCTGTGGGTCAAATCAGCTTAATCATTTTTACTGTGATGTCCTTCCATTGTATAGAATTTCCTGTGTGGACCCTTATGTCAATGAAATGATGGTATTTATCATGGCAGGGTTCATTCTAATCTTTACTTTCATCGTAGTCTTAATATCATATTTCTATATCCTTTTTACTATATTCACAATGAAATCCAAAGAGGGAAGAGGCAAAGCCTTATCTACCTGTGCATCCCATTTTCTCTCTGTGTCAATATTCTATTGTTTCCTATTTTTCATGTATGTTCAACCAAGTTCAGTTAATGAAGGGGATAAAGATATACCTGTGGCAATTTTTTATACTATAGTTATTCCTTTATTAAATCCTTTTATTTATAGTCTAAGGAATAAGGAAGTAATAAATGTTCTTCAAAGAATAATGAAGAAAAGAAAATTTGTAACATTTTGAAACAATATCATCTACCTGGTAGAAGTGACTTCAACTTGATAATAACATTTTCTAAATTGAAAGCAAATGAGAAAATGAAAAATTCCACTTAGTAACAGGTCAGTTTGAAAAAATTAAAAGATGATATTTGAGTAAAATGAATCTGGAAAAGAGGGATTACATCAAAATTACCTGCAAATCTAAAGTATTAGGATATTTTGAAAGTGAACTAGATAATCATTCATGATGCAAAAATGCAATTACTCAAAAACTTTGACAGATAATGAATACTTGGAATAAGAGCTAGTATATATAAGGAATTTCTCAAAGTAATATTGGCACATTATTAGATTTTCCTTCTTGCTAATAACAGACTGCTTTTGTCTAGTAGTAATGGCCTATTACCAATCTATGATCACATGCAGCACACTTTGAACCAATTCATTTAACATTTAAGCCTTCATTTAATGTTATTAGCAAGTTTCTCAATCCTTAAACCTAAAATCTCAGGCCAATTTAAATTTTTAAGTATTAAACTTTTCTTAATACCATCAGTGGGAGTTATATTTTTTAAATTTGAATTTGAATTGACTTTAGCTCATTAAATATATTAAATGTGAATGTGTGTTCACAGAATGCGCTAATAATATGTTCATATATAGTGTTCCACATTTTTATTCTCAAATCTCTGAATTAAAGTATCTACATAATGATGATTTAAGAATATATAGTTAAAATGATATACTTTTGATGAAATTTTCTGAATTAAATATCACATGTGGTTCACATATTCGTCCATCAGAGAGATCACTGTAATTACTGTGTATATCCATTAAAGTTTTTTTCTCATTGGTGTCTTCACTAGTTTTGTAGTTCATTATGACTGCCCAAAACAGCACTTAATCTATTGGAAGTATTGATATGTTCACAGATTTAACAAAAGATGGAGATGTTGTTCTACCACGAATGAGGCAGAACATAGTAAAAATTCTAAATATCTAAATGAAATATTTATCAAATACACTACAAGTATTAAAGAAAAATTAATTTTTTTAAATGTACTACATACTAGGCATTAATCTAGTCTTTTAATATTTATTAAATACAAACATTTTATGTTCTTGTTAAGGAAAAACCTCAAGCATTGATATATTGAGTTGCTTGCCCAAGTTCATCCCAGCAAGCCCAAAGCATCTGCAGTTTGAATAAACACTGCCTTTTCTCCACATCCTTACCTCTGTTATTCAGGTATTATGTAACATTAGAAGTCACCATACCTTAAAATACTGAGTACATTTTGATAGTTGCAGCAAAAGATAAATGAGTATGACCATTATCAGTGTTTAAGGAAATGACTATGTCACTGGGATTGGAAAGTGGGGACCAACACTGGGGCAGAGTGAACAAGGAGATCTTGGTGACTGTGGGAGGTGTGGGTAGATCAGGAGCTGAGAGCCTTCAGTGCCAACTCAGAAATCTAAATTTGTTGAAAGCATCAAACATTAGACTATTCCTTGAAGCTGAGTATTATGACTATAAATTTCCAAAAACATATCTAGCAGTCAATTGATTGAAAAAAGCCTGCAGAGAAACAACTTCAGTAATTTTTGTATTAAGTAAGCATGGAACATGAATACAGTATATGTTTACACAGGTAAACAACATTTTAAAGAAAATATAAAATGGTTAAATTATTTATATTTTTTAATTTTTTGGTGTTTTTTTCAGATTTATTTTCTATCATAGTATATACTAATAAACAAAATCTGCATGAACAAAATCTCTTTATGTCTTACATATGTTTTAAGAGTATAAATAAATCAGTAGACCAAAAAGTTTGGGAATTTGAATTAAATGGATAATGTGCATCCTCTATTTTTAACATTAGGCAAAAGTATTTTTATGGACTTCCTTTCCCTTTTCTACTTACACCATGATTTTGTTATGCATTTCTATATCATTATCCCAATCCTTAGCAATGCTGAATTCCAAGCTTCTGTTGATTGAAGACTTATTTGGGGCTAGTTAGACCCCCTCAAAAGTGATTTTTCCTGACAATTTGATTAACAATTTGGCTTGTTTAGAATTCTAGATATGATACAAATATTTTTATCAAACTTTGAAGATACTCTTCCATTATAATCTATCAACTGATGTTATATTTGAGAAATTGCAAGTGATTGTGGTTCCCATTTCATAGTTGTCTCTCTGAAGACTGTCAGGAGCTGTTCCACATCCAGTTCTTTATTAAGTTATAGAATTAACAATTATGGCTCTTAATCATTTTTTTTCTGAACAGTGGTGCATTTAGTTGGCACTTCTCTTTAGTTTCCTCCTGAGTCATCTGGCCTTTCCTTGTCATTCATGATGTTGACATTTCAGTAGGGACCTGTCCAAATATTTTGTATAATATTCACCAGCTTTGTTTTGTCTGAAATTTGTTCATGATTAGACTTGTCCCAAGGAATTTAGGAAAAATAGCACACAACCGTGATGCTCTCTTCATGTTATTATAAGAGGGAGGATTTAATAACAACATAAATTGCTACAAAGGTGTTAGCCCTGGTCACTAGGTAAAGTGAAGTGTTAAATTACACATGCTGTTTTGAGACCATTTTTCTCAAGACTATTAAACTCCTACAACTTGTAAATTTGCACAGAGTACAAATTCCCAAAATGGATTACTCAGGAATTCTTGTACACTTTTTTCACTTATTGAAGGTAAACCACCATATAATGATCACTGATAGTTGGGGTAAACAATGTAGTCTGGTTACATCAGTTGTATATTGGACACGTCATTTCATCAGTAAATTAGCCAGTAGGTTCTTGGAAAATGCAATTTGTTAGAATCAATGAATCAGTCATTGCTGAATAGTACATGAAGCTGGGTGTTTGGACCCAATACAATATTTACATTACTCTGTCAGAGACCAATGTTTCTTAAGCATTGATGATAGAAAGATAGCTCATTATGAGATGTGAATTATTTTATTCATTCATCAAGATGAATTTCTTTTTCTATTATCATGGAAGTTTCATAAGCAACCAAACCATTCTCAAATGGCTGAGTGATCTTCTTTAGGATCATTGCCTTGTTGTCTTCCTTGAATAGTCCAAAGTTGTACTTTGTTTGAATGACAATTTCTAGCTCATGAAGGGAAATCTTCATTCAGGGACATTTCATGTCCCAGAGTATGATACTTTCTCACCCACAGTGCTTAAGTATAGCAGGCAATTATTTTTAAACACATTGTAATTTTCTCAAGAAAACAGTAAGGCTTTGCCTAAAACATTAGGCATATTCAATGCACATTCTGTTTACTTCATATGTCTTCTCACCAATTAAATAGCCATAATTGCATAGATCTGAAGAGTCATATCCCTCAAAATAAAACAGTACATAATAAAGCTTAAATATCATAAATTATTTTTTCCCATTCTGGAACCTGCAGAAAGTTGGCATTTTCCTCTTTTAAGAATATAAATTTACACATAAGTTATTTGTAAACTCAGCCAGATATTTAGAAACACTTGAAAATAAACAAGACAATAACAGGATAATTCATAAGAAATATGTATGTTTTGGTTTGTATGTGAAATACTACTCAATTTAAAAGACACATCCTGGTTGCATGCAGTTTCAGAGTAAGGCTTTGAGAAGTGAATATATTATGATGACTCTGACCCAATCAATAGACTAATACATTGATAATTCATAATTTGATGGCATTATTAGCAGATGCTTAATAATGGAGGAGGAGGGAGTAATTCACTATATGCATTCCCTCAAACAGTTCATGTTGTCCATCATCCCATCCTCCTCTGCTTCCTGGTAGGCTTCGGTGAGAAACTTTCTTCTGCCATATCCTTCCACTAGGCTGTTTGACTCTCTTTAGGACTAAATTCAATGGAATTGGCCATCTAGCAACAGAAAATTCTGATACCATCAGCCGAAATAAATGTTGCCTCTTTTGGCTTCTTCATCTCAGGAATTATTTGTGGCAGTGAAAACTGAGTTACATAACCTGTCACATTTCCCTTCACTGGATAGGACCAAAACTAAGAAACCCCATTTGATATTTCCCTAGAGTCCCTGACTAGGACAGGCAAAGTCCACTGGGATATGACAGAGGCATCATGGAGATGCATGATGGACTTTTCAACAAGAGAACTATGGATAAAGCATTTTACATTCCATCTCCCCAATTAATATCAACCCTTAACCACGAGTGACTTCACAGAATAAGAAAATGGTAATCAGAATATCCTCTAAAGACCCACTCAGGTCATGGACCCCTGAAATATGTGCAGCTGGGTAAGTGTTCAGGCCCCACCAAACCTGAGGCCGGGTGAAGAGTTACTGGATACTTGGGAATGTACACCACTGCACCTCCCTGAAATATTCCTGCCTACATCATGCCCCTATGTATTGAGCTACTAGAGACTGCTTTCACCTGGAATCCTAAGAGTTGCTAGGTGGCCACATCTCAAATGGATCAGCACTCACAGTCATCTGACACTGTGAATAAACAGATGGTTGGCTTCTCCTATTATCCATTGGCCTGGAGAATCAGTTTTAGAGCCTTCCTTAAGCAGCTTGTTCACCCCATATCAGAAAAGGGAACTAAAGAACTCAATGGCGTGGTCAAGCAACCCTGTTGGGCCAAAGAAAGAAGTTTCAATTCTATATAGTTCAGTAAAGAGACTTCATATAAGCCACAGAAATAATGATTCTGAGAACTATACTCCAATCTCCTTAATGAACAGTGATCCAAAAATCTTCAATAAAATAATGGCAAACTGAATCCAACAACAAATCAGAAAGATCATTCACCACAACCAACTAGGCTTCATCACAGGGATGCAGAGGTGGTTCAACAGATGCAAATCATTAAATGTAATCATTAAATTTTATTTAACATTAATAAAATCAAAGACAAAAGCCACTTGATCATCTCAATAGATTCAGAAAAATCTTTGATAAGATCCAACACCACTTCATGATAAAAACTCTAAGA